CCCCAAAACCCCAAAACCCCAAAACCCCAAAACCCCTTAATATCGCAAGCTATTGAGTGAAGTATCAAAATGTAAAAATAATTAATCTTAATCAAAATGTTCTCGATATTTCTTGTACTCTTCAATTTTCCTCTTCTTCTTTTCAAGCTTCTTTTCTCTCTTTTTCTTCTTCTTACAGGGATTTCAGTAGTATTTAACATCTTCGATATTTCCGTCTTTTATTCCAACTCATTCAGGATGAACCCACTTATCTCACATTTCTCAGCCGATGTAGAGCATGTTAGGGTTCTGGGGCTTTTCTCAGATGCAGAGTTTGTCCCATTTAGAAAAGGGAGGAAACAAACGGTTCTATAACATATAATTCTAAGCTTACATACCTGTATGACATCAAATTTAGCTCTTGTGTAAAAGATAGACTGGTTAACTAAGCTACAGTCCTGGTATTCAGAAAGATGAAGCACCTGAACCTTTCATATAATACTCTCAAGAGGGATTATATCCTTATGGTTTGTTGGGAATACTTCATTGTCACCGATAAAGACCTGATCTGCCTCTGAAAGTCTTAGAATATCAAAGTTCATATCTCCTTTTTTGTAGTACCATTGAACTTGAGCACATGGGATGTCTTTATCAGCACTTCTAGACATTATCTTTAATATTTTTGCTACATATGTAGAGAATTCATTCTGTTTGATCTTAACAACGTCCAAGCAGTGGTACTCGGTCCCATTAACTTTGGCTTTACTGAACAATTTAATTGGCTCTAAATAATCATGATTAATAGGAAGCTTACCTTTATTGGTCTGTTGCGAAGACAAATCTGCAGTAGCCATACTGCCTTTAGGAACAGCATTAAGCGTTTCCTCGGGGTTAAGGATGGAGTAAGGAATATCCATTGAAATAAGACCTTATTCACCCCCATTATATTCATTAAGGTTCAATAGTTTTGGGAATTTAGAAATTGAAAATCTCTAGGGTTCTCAAGATTTTTACCTTTTGGCTGATTAACAAAGATTTTTGGAGTAGTTAGGTTATTACAAAAATAATAAAGAAGCTTTTATAATCATCTTAGGGTCTTTCCTTTAGCTATATCCATCATATTGAGTATGATTTGGAAAGGTTTTAACTTCCCAAAATGACCAATTCAGTACAAATTTGAAGAATTATATCTAAAATTAATCAAGTAAATAAAGCTAAATTTTAATAAGAAATTGTAGATATAGAAAATAGATGGCTTCGCATTACATTATTGTTAGCCACTGCAGAAAGCCAATATTTCTTTGGAAGAATGTGCGAACTCAAGATTCAGATTATTTCACTCTGGTAAGCATTCCTATAGCGTTTCTTGATAAAAGATTAAGCCTTGTATGTTTGAATCTTATTCAAGCATATTTACTAAAATATTTCAGTTGCAGATCTATATAGTGTCATTTTCCTTTATTATTAAGGTTTTTAAATTTATCTAAACTAAATTCAAATCTAAGCTAAGTATTCGTTTGCAATTAAGTACGGAGAGCCCGAAGACCCTCCACTGCCAGAAATTTCGCTGTTTGACTACCCCGTTCGGGGCACAATAGGGCTTTACAGACGCCGGTTGTGCAGCGGCCTGCTCTACCCTAAGTGTCTCTCCTACGTGATCGAGAGAACACTCCAGCCAGGTAAGTACAAATTCTTGGTAAGTCATGAATATATAGTGCTACTTTGGGAAATTACTATGGGTTTCACTTTAATTAATATAATAAATCTGAATTTTATTCGAATTTCCTATTGGGATTTACCTTTGTGGGGTTTTGGGGTTTTGGGGTTTTGGGGTTTTGGG